GCACCCACTCGGCGATCTACAAATGGTAACATAAATCCAAATAATCGAATTGGTAGATGTCCTAAAACAAAACCAATTCAGTCTAACATGCAATGACATAGACTCACATAGTCGGGGGAAATGATAGACATTCAAACAACTGATTCTACACAAAAACAATATATCAAACAGGAACAATGCAATAAACCAGTTGAAGAGTTCTCAAGCTATCTAATCCTATATACGTTTACAACCCCTAAGGCATTTGATCAACGATCTACTTAATAGCATATACAATCCTACCACACATTGGACATGCAATGTTATAGTATAGTGAGAAGAAACTCACATGAGCCAAACAACATAATCATAGTAGCAACCTTGGCAGATGAAACAACTAACACAAACTGCCTAATTAACAATCTGAGATCAAACTTCAACCTATGGCTCAAATCTTTAAAGTTCGAATAAAAGTCAAACCGGTCAAAAAGTCAACAGTGTCAAAGGTCAAGAGTCAACGTCAACATAACAGATGTGTCGCAACCAAGTCAAACGTGTCGTACCCTACACAATTAGAAAATAGATATAATACTTTTAAAGCACGCCGTGGCCTTCTTTAGGTGTGCCCCTCCCTATGCTCAATAGCCTCACCATTAAGCACTTAATCCTTAAAGTTAGAGGCTCTAAATCTCATATCTAAAGCCCTACAATGTCCAAGTGGAAAAAGTTTTCAACTTTATTTATTTCATTGCCTTTAACAAACAAGATCTCAAACCGTAACTTACAAAATCCACTTTAAGGGCCAAAACCTTATCCAACTAGGAATGTCTAGAAGGCAAGATATGACCATTAAAAAGGTATAGAGTTCTTCAAACTCTAAGAATCATACCGCAACTCCTATCTCTACGTGCACACCACTTGCTCGATCCGTTCTCTGCACGAATAGCTCAAATCAATCTCTTCTCTGAATTTCTACATCTCAGGCGGCCTGAGTCAGGCCAATTACCACCATCGTCACATCTACCTCCACATGCGCGCCACTTGCTGGAACTGTTCTTTGCACTGGTTGCTCTATCTCTTCTCTCTATTTCTATGACCTCATAGCTGTCAGTCACACCTCACCCATCATAAGGTATTTTCTTCTTTGATATCTTTTGAGCATCTTCAAAGATTTTTTGGGTCATTTTCCTTTCCTTCTATGTTCCCATGTCAGAATTTTGTGCTCATATGACAGAAAAAAAACATGGGATTAAATTAGGGCTAAAGTTTCCATGCTATTCTATCGAGTCTGTATCAGAATTTTATGTTTGTATGATAGAAAACCTTGAGCAGAAATTAGGGCTAAAGTTCCCATGGTATTATGTTGATTCTATAAATTAGGGCTTAAGCAAAAGTAGACCAGCAATAAACAAATTTAGTAAAAAAAACTATTGTGGCCTTCAATCACCAGAATCTGTTCATCTTCACAGTTCCATTCTTGCAATCGACTTTCGACTTCAGGGGTCATAAGAGAAGCAAGCAGGACAGTGGTTTGAATGGAGCTCCCAAGACAGCAAGACAAAGGTAAAAATTCCTCACTTTAGTTTGTTCTTCACATATTCATTAATCTCAGTTCCCAATTATTACGTAAATGCCTTAATTTCTCTTTCTTCCTATATAATCAATTTAAATACCAGTTTTGTTTCTTTGCTTTCTGCCATAATGCATTTTTCCTTTGGTAAACAAAAAGAAATATTAGCATCAAAGTTTGAACAATTGTTAAATTTGATTTTTATTCTGTTACATGTAAATGATTTATTGCCGATGTCTACATTCTTAGCCATTAAATGATTGTTTCAGGTTCCTTATATTGTTATCTGTTGCTTTAGTTCTATTTCCTACCTTTGGATTTCAAAAAGGTACCCTCTAAGCCGTGTTATGTATAATGTGTTGTTTTCATCGCGTATTTAGCTTGGCCTTTTTTCTTTACTAACTGATTTGTTTTTGCTATATCTTGATGCCTCTATCTTATATTGTTATGATTTTCCATTATATTAAAAGCCAACTTATTTCTTTCACCGATTCGTTTCACAACAATATGCAACGAAAAAAGAAAAAGCTTAATCATAATGATGAACATCCACTTGAAAATTATGTTTCTTCTCCACAATCCAGCCCACATGCTTTTTCTGATAGCCCATCGAGTTCTAAATCTACAAAAAATCGTGTGTCAAAAAGGCTTGTACAAAACTTTCGGTATTCAAGGACTCTCATATTTCAACACCTCATGTCCAACAACCTCATAATTCTCAATCTTTAATTGACGATCTCTCGCTGAAATTGGCGCTATCCAATTCCAGTTTCACAAAGTTTATGTAAGTTTCCTTCTCTCCCAAATCTGTTTTATCACTCCAATTGAGCACACATGATTCTCGAGTTGCAGCTTAACCTAATCTCACCTTCTCCGTTCAAACAGATGACGACACCACTGACCAATGCAGCTTCCGATTCCGGCAGCCTCCACATTTTAAAATCTAAAATTATTCTTCGTTAACTTCCGATTCAGGTAAATCTCTTGATTTTATTTGCTTTATTCGTATATTAGGTTAGGTTTATGTTAGGGCTTAATTTCTCCATTTTTCCCTTTTTCAATCGTCATTCCTCTTATATCTCAGCATTATATATACACGAATCACCTTGAAGCTTTCTGGTTATTGTGTATCATAGCCATATGGAATGCCTTCTTCTTTATCAGCAAATTAATTTCAGGTCTACCATCGATTACATCTATATAAGAATAGACACTTAGAATTAGAACTTGATTTAGGGATTGATTGGTTAATTATTGTTTAAAAGCTATAAATTGGTTAGTTGTTGTTGATCCATGAGTTCTTACAGGTCTAGCCTACACGAATTTTATGGAAAAGTAAGTAGAAGGGAATTAAAACGCCGATAAAGAACATATAGTGGTTTAGAGAATAGCTTACCCAAAATGACACCTAATTTGCTCCCCTTAAGTTTACTCCTTTTGTTCTTGTCAATTGGAAAGCCTGCTTTGAAGTACACAACTCTGAACAGAAACATCTTGAACATAGTCTCATCTCCTATTTCTACGAACAAACGCCTTTATAAGTATAGAAATTGTTTTTGTATTTCTTTTGGTGAATTCACTTGAGGTTCATTAGACTATATTTGTATTTTTATCTGATTCACAACCTTGCTAGTTGAATTTAACAGGTTAATTGAGAATTAGATGATAGTTTGAAACAAAAAGATAAGGCATACCTAATAATAAAGGCCAATTGCAGAGAAAAGAAATGTATCTCAGACAAAATGTTGTGCAAATTGTAAGTTTATAATCATATAAGGGACCCACCAAATCCTAATCACTTCAAAAAGAAATTGACTTATTTAAATTATCTATTTGGATCATCTGTAAAAAACTTGTTTATAATTGAGATTTCAGATAATGCCTTTTAGGTTATGATTGTTTTAAAAAGTCTAAACTTGCAGCATATTACTTTGGTTTTATGTGTATAACATATCACATAAAAGGTAAGTTTGTTACTATATATGTCTATTTACTGTCTCTAGGTTGTCAACATTTTGATTTTACCTGATGCATCATCATATGAACAAACACCTTTATAACTGTTTATATATTGTTGTGCGCTGAAGGTTCATTTTCTGTGATAATATACCTGTTTTTGTGTATCTTTTGGTGAATTCACGTAAGTAACAAGCTTCTATGTGAGGGAATTCAACATAAAACAGTGCAAACTCTGAGTGCTTATATTACCAGGCTTGTTAGGAGTCACTTTCTTCAACTTCTCTGTCTAATCTATGAGTTACAGGAAACTGGGTTTGCTTTTCTGTTTTCTGACCGTTTTACCCCTGGACACCAATGCGTGGATCTTTGTTGTGTTTAGGTCAGCTCATAGTTTGTCAATACTATCTTTACATATGTTATTAATCGGTTCGGTTATTTTGGTTATAAAAAAGAATCAGTAAAATGATAAGTCTTATAGTTAGTGATGTGGGATGACAAAAGTCAGGAACAAAAAGTCTTACTGTTCAGCTATGTATAGGTGTTTTGTACTAGATTTACGTCCCATTTACGTCCCAACTTTTTTTTTTTTACAAAATCATTTTTTTAAAGAATTCATACTCCCAACTTTTTTTTTTTTTTTTTTTTTTTTTTTTTTTTTTTTTTTACATATTTGACATGTCATTGTGAACAAAATTCAATGTAAAAAGAAGTCTAAGATAAACAATTCAGGTAAATACCTGTGATTTCTCAGTTTTCTGCACAAGACTATCCAATTTTTTTTCAAGCTCTTTAATTTCAAGTTGAAGATATTTTTGCTTAAGTAGAAACAAGTTCCCATTCAATCTTTCACCTTTCAGATTCTGCATCTTTCCATTTACCCACAAAATCCCCTTCATATTTTCAATCTGATCCTTCATCTTCTCCAACTGTTTCAACTTTAGAATCATTTCCTCCAAAAAACCAACAACTTTTTCTTCAAAATAATCACACAAATCCCATAAATCTATTTTCACTTTCAAAAACATATTTTCAAGAACCTGTTTCTCTACCCATAATTTATCAGCTTCCTCCACAACTTTCATGGCTGCTTTCTCATTTATTTCAAATGCAAAACCCATTTTTTGTGACAGCCTTTCTAAGTTCCTCTTGAAGTCTTGCAGCCAAATTAACATTTTGCAATCTCATTTTTCTCAACTTTTCCTCTGCCCGAATCGTCCTGTTCTTGATTCACTAACTCTTCCTCAAGATTCTTGACATGGGTTTCAAGATCTTTAATCACAAGATTTGAGTTTGATTTGCCAAAATGTTTTAAAATGAATTCTGATGCAAAATTAAATTCATTTATTTTAATTACTAATTAGGATCTAAAAAGATGAACGTAACATTATGAGTTCATATCTTTTGATAAATAACACCTCAAATATTACAAACTTCCCATTCACTTTTAATAAATAATAAACATAACCCATCAAAACAAGAAAGGTCAAGCTTTATGGTCAAAGACTCAACTGGACTCGACTCGACTATGTATGTACTTTTATATGGGAATCAAAGGAAGAAGATTGAGTTCATGAAAGTCAGAGGCTTCCTAAAGAGGTAATTGAGGTTATATTATGCTATAAAATAAATAATTTCACATGAATAGCTGCATAATGTTGTTATATGATGCTATTGGTGTTTCAAAGGGATGATCGGTTGAGGTTAAGCCATTCGTCGTCTGTTTTCCCTCCATATTCAGGTAAGATGCTACATTTATTTTGAAATTTAAACCATATTGAATTGTATTTTAAAAAGGAGGAACAGAGATATGGAGATTGAAGCTGGAAACAACGAAAATTTTATTGAACCCCCTTTTGAATATATGCATTTCATTACCTACAAATATGGAACTAAGGTATGTCTATGAAACAATATTTCCTTTTAATTTACCAAATGTTTATTATATTTTTTAACTCACTGTTTTTATATAAATATATAATAGGTGGAGTTCAAGCAGGCTCTGCCGCTCTGGTCCCTAGTATGGTTTGCTGGAGAGAACACGTAGGGAAGCTCAACATCACGCGGCTGAGGCATCTCTTATGAATTTGGCTGGTAAAAAAATATTTGATGTTTTTGTCTTATAACAGTATAAAGAATTTATAGAAATGAATTCCTTCCACCCTTCCCCTAGTCCTTAGGATTCAAATGGAATCGAATTGCAACAAAACAAATAATGATAATGATTCTGATCCTTTTTAGGCAATGTTTTTGCAGATAAGTATCTGTCTCATGCTAAGTCTGGTGGTGGTCTTTAGATTCTGGGTTAGAGGGGCTGGGTCCTAAGAAAGGGTCGATTGCAGCACTTAATGAACTAGTAAGATCTTAATCAGTTATTGTATGTATATCTTACCTTTTCTTTTCGATTATTTCAGTGTATAATGGAAGGTTTGGGCATGAGTTTCCAACCTCAACCACACGTTTCAAATAACATGGGCCAGACCAACAAGTTATATGCACATGTTGGTAATGTACTATTATTTTGTAGTTATTTTTGACATTTGACATGTTAATTAGTTTTAGTCAATGTCTCTTCAGGTTGAAATAGACGGGGAAGTGTGGGGTAAAGGAGTCGTGTTAACATGGGATGAAGCTAAGATGCAGGTATCTCTTGTCACTTATTTCTTCACATCAATGATCAATGATCAATCCCAATCAAATGTTATTATTATTTTGAATTTTTCTCTCTCATGTTTTACTTTTATCAGGCTACTGAAAGTGCTTTTGTAAATTTGAAAGCAAGGATCAGGGAATACCCACCTCCTCAAAAACGACAACCTTCTCCTAGGTAGGTGGTCACTTTAATCTTTCTTTATTAATAATCTAAAATGTTAATTTCAGGAATGAGAACCGAAGATGATTGGATGAACATGAAATGAAGAGAGCAGTTAAAATGTTATTTTGAAGTTATGTTTTGTGAAAACTCATTTCCTTTGGGAGTTTGATGTTATGTGGATAGTTTTGTTTTTGGATGTTTTTTGAATGATGCTTTGGTAAATTTTGATAGTTTTTGGTATTGTAATGTTTGGTCGTATCATTATTTGATGTTTTTTTTTTGTATAATAATTTGATAATTGTAGTATTTTTTTTATTTTAGAATCATAATAAAAAAAAACATGATATTACATGTTTGTGACGCATCAGTGAGGGGAAAAAAATAAATGTGTGAATTTTGCGAGGGATTAGCTATGGAAAAAAATTCATGTCTAAAGTTTGTGATGGATCAGTGTGAATTTTGCGAAGGATTAGCTATGGAAAAAAATCATGTCCAAAGTTTGCAATGGATTAGCGACGGAAAAAAGAAAAATTAATGTATAAAATTTGCCAGGGATTAGCTATGGAAAAAATAGGAAATTTGTGACAGAACAGCGACGGAAATTTTGTCACCAATGTCCTGACTAAATGTATTGAGTGATTATTTGGTGATGGATATTTTGTCGCTAAATTTGTCGCAAGGGAAAATCGATCCGTCGCTAAAACACTCTCTAGGTTATTCGCCACGTTTTAATTATCTCCGTCGTTGATCCATCGCAAACAACATTTAGCAACGGAATAGCGACGGATCCGTCCGTCTCTAAAACCCATGTTTCTAGTAGTGGGATGCCCTTGCTATATGTAGAGTCCATGGAAATCCTCAATATTTTATAACATACACTTGCAATGTTAAATGGCCAGAGATTTCAAGATATCTAGCACAATATCCTGGAATGAAGGTTGAGGATAGGGCTGATATTATTACTAGAATATTCGAGATGAAGGTTAAGGATTTTATTCACTATTTGAAAAATGAAAAACCTTTCGGACATGTAGTAGCGGTAATGTCATTATTAACTAACTGGCATATTGTTCATCCATTACAATATATTGTCTCAAAATATTATATCCTTGTCTTATGTTTTTTTTCTTATGCATGCAAAGCTGTATACTATAGAATTCCAAAAAAGAGGTATGCCCCATTTCCATACTCTCCTGTGGGTGTCACCTCCATATAAAATTCATACCCCAGAACAGCTTGATCAATTTATTTCTACTGAAATCCCTGATCCAGTCGTTGATCCTCAACTCTACAAGATTTGAAGATTCACATTAAGCTCCTTATATACAGAGGCACACAAAGATTTTTGGGGTTCCGATAGCTACAAAAATGAGAGTAATGCTCTCACTATGTGTACACGTATAACATATGTATTCTTTTAAGATATTAATACAATTTAACTTATTTTTTCATTTTGTTAGTAGCGGAGTGGTGGATGTAATGTGGATCGTCAACACCGACATTTAAAAAGTTTATGATTAATGTGTTAATTTTTACATGTAGTTCATTAGGGTGTGAACGTAACTGTAGCATATTTGAACAAATATGTAGCTCATTATTTTCAAAATAATTAGAAATGTATAAATATATTATAATCGAAAATATTTTATAATGTTGGGGAACAAGTAGTGGATGATGACCCCGTATACGAGGACGATTTGAAAATCATATTTTAAAGGCTAAATATGTGAAAGTAGAAGTAATATTAATATTTTAACAGGCATTTACTAAATGAAATAGTTGTTACTATTTCATCGCTATCGATAACATACGCAACAATCCATGTTAATTACACTATAAAACACGATAACCTAATAGCGGAACAAGTGCATACCTTATCCCAATCGATAAGTTGTATCCCTACGTCCTAGCATCGACCCTCCGATCAAATCCTGAGAACTAATCTCTCCAACTTTGTTTTAATTTTATTTTGCCAAATCTCCTCAAATAAACACCAAATCTAGAGTTGCCACATGATGCCTCCTGCATCCCTCTGTTTCAACCACTTGTCTTGTGTCTCCATCTCTCTCGATCTGAGAACATGTGTCCACCGAATGGACATCTCAGCATGCAGCAACACATAACTTACACGATGCGACCTGGTCGATGACTTTCGTTGATCACGACTTAGACCTTGACCCATACTTGACCCGTATTCTCTTTCTACACCGCAAGTAAACATCAATACACCTTCTATACACACCTTTAAGCAACTTCATTTATTTAGGTAATTGACTAATTCAACCAGAAATTCAAGGGCAAAAAATCAACCACCATAGTCCAAACAAATCATTATTGTGCTGAACCAATGCCTTGTTTCCTTGCTTTGGCACCCCGCCTAATGACACTCATCGCTACTTTCTGTAATGTTTCTAGCAACCAACGGTTAACAATATCTTCCACCGGTCACGACCTCCGGTGCATATTATCCGGCGACCTCTAGTATCTTTTCAAAAGTAAGTTTTCTTCTTTTTTTGTCGTTAATTTGCGGGGTTTGACAAACAACATCTTAGACAGATGCTCATGAATATATATGTTTGCTTGCTGCTATTCTAATTTCCCATTCATCAAATTGACATATCCATTTTGTTTTCCTCATATTTGTGAGAAATACGCATGCCAACTGTTTGATGAAAGTCCAGAGTCCCAAAAACCATCAGTTTGCTACAATTCTATGGTATACATTTTAACAAATGAGCCTTTTTGGTTGTTCTTGTTGGTGCAATTTACCATTTTGGAAGTAAGACCGGTATAATATATGTTTTCATATTTATCTTAAACTATTATCTTTGCAATATTAAATATGAATGAAAGAATTGATAAGTTGATTTGGAACCTAATTGCTTTTATTATTTTTAATCTCATATTTCTTGAAAATCATATCATCAATTTGTATCATGTCTATTTTTATCTGTTTACTTTATATGATTTATCCCATCATACTTTTTAATTTTATCTAAAGAAGTGATAATCTTTCAAGAAATACATTTGGATTAAACCGAATTTTTTTTCTAGAATAGCAACACCTTTCTTTTCCATGAATTCAAGAAATGACAATGACTATGAAGCCTAGTTTTTTAGAATAGTCACAATGTAGTAGATTCTTCATTGTTAGAGTTCTTCCATTGTCATTACAATTTTTGATTTATGCTTGCACTTTATGTTTTTTCTCTTCTAATTCTTTCCGTATTAAAAGATTTATAGATTTATATTTGTAATTATCAGATATTCTAATCAGAAATATAAACTTGGAATTGTAATCTCTTTTCATTTTTACCGGAATATCTTTTATCTTCCAAGAATATTTACTTTGTTCATAAGATTCATAAATTTATAATTTTCATCTTTTCATTTTTACGAGAATGAGTTTTACAGAATTATATTTTCTTTCATTTAATAAATTTGCTTCCTAAAATTCAGGACTTCATTATTTTGTTGACTAAAATAAGGTTAGAGAAAATGTCCATTTTACCCCCAAGACATTTTAGAATTTGAATTTTAAAAAAAAATTAATAATAAATGTAATAGTATTCTTTCCGGAATGATTATTTTTTCCCGTGATCCAATGGTTAGGATTAAGTTACACATTACACAATATATGTCATTTACATCTTAACCTATCCCTATATTTATATATACACTTACTATTATTTTATGGAGATATACAAAGAGTTTTTCTTAAGATCCATAGATATGATAATGTTTGCCTTTGCAAGCATCCTACTCTCCTTTCTCATTTATCATTTATTTTTCCAATACTTATGGATTGCACAGTACCTTTGTGTGTATTTTTTTTATTCATGGCTTTTGATTCCCATTTGAATATTGAGCGGATGGTGGTGGCGTGGATTCAACTTTTTTTTTTTAATATTTAATCTTTCATTGTTCTTTATGGTGTATATTTTTAATATGTATGACAAACATATAGCTTTATTAAGTTTGTATTCCTTCGAAATCCAACAAAGCTTGCACTTACGGTTGGGCAGTATCCACTGTATTTATGAACACATGAAGCTTAGATTCACACATTCTTTGGATTACATTCTTTCTTTTCTGATTTGCTGCTTTGGTTGTTCCCTCTGAGAATATATATATATATATATATATATATATATATATATATATATATATATATATATATATATATATATATATAGAGAGAGAGAGAGAGAGAGAGAGGATATAGATCCGGTAAGAAATTTTTTTGATAAGAAGGTAAGAAGTTTTTTTTCTACATATTTTTTTCACGAACAAACTAAATGAACCACTAGATGATTCATTTGCAAGATTATTCACAAGAAAAAAATTCTCAAAAAAACATATTTATGATTCATTTTTAAGTAAATTAAGAAAAAATCCACTTTTATGACAATTTTAGTGAATAACAACAAAATCATTGTATAAATGAATCATCGAGATGTTTTTTTGAGAATTTTTTCTTGTGAATCATCTTACAAATGAATTATCTAATGATTCATTTTATTTGTTCGCGAAAAAAATAAGTAGGAAAAAAAACTTCTTACCTTCCTACTAAAAATTTTCTTCTTATTTGATCTTGACTATATATATATATATATATATATATATATATATATATATATATATATATATATATATATATATATATATATATATATATATATATATAGAGCCGGCCTAAAGGGGGTTCAAGAAGTTCCATCGAACAGGGCCCACTCTCTAATAAGGGCCCAAGACGTTTTCTACTGATAATATTACCCTAGGTTAACTTTTACGTTATTAATTGTCTCGTTCTGTCATTCGTTTGCAGCAAAAGAACAAACGTATGCAGCAAATTGAGCGGGAAATTGAGTTGAAGTATTTCCGACTATTGGCTTCTCGATGTCAGATCATACGCGTGAAGAGTGAAGACGTTTGGTTTCTCTTGGTAACATTAATATGATTTCTCTATGTCTGCCCTAGTATTATCTTCCAACTTCAAACCTTACCTCCAGAATCCTCAAGCAATTCATTAAGACATTAAATCTCAGCAAAAAAAAAGCCACTATGTTCTACTGTTACTGTTTCCTTCCTTATTTTCCTCGAGCAATTCTAATTTTCCTGATTTTCTTCAAACTATTGGAGCTTCGAGGTTCTTACCAGCATCAAGTTTGATTTTATTCTTGATTCTTTAACTGTCGAATGTTTTTGTCTTATAATTTTACTGTTTTTTCTCTTGATTTTGTTGCTCAAGGTAATATATATATATATATATATATATATATATATATATATATATATATATATATATATATATATATATATATATATATATATATATATATATATATATCAGTTTGAGTTCCATTGTTATTGTTACAATGTTGCTCAAGAGATTCCTTTGTGGTCGTTTTCATATTCTCTTTGTTCTTGGTTGTTGCTCTTCAGATTTTTAGAGGTAAAACATTGATCTTATATAAATTTCAGATTTTTATATTTGTGAGTTTTACATTTCAGATTCATTTACCTTTCACCGATTTCAGACTTTATATTTCTTTCTTTCTTATTCTGAATTTTATATTTCAGTTTATCTGATTTACAAATAATAAATTTACAAATAACAAAGGAAAAATAAATTTACAAACTAGAGGTGTTTATATCCTTCTTATAAAATGCCTCCTGGATTCAAAAAAATGAAGGTGGACATGAAAAATGTAATAATTTTATGTATATTACAAGACGAAGTGAAAAACAAAAGTTTTATGTATATTTGAATGAAACTTTCTTGAAGTAAATTACTAGATGAAATGAAAAACTAGATTTTATGTTATATTTCGTAATTTATAAGTTTTAGGGCTTAATTTTACTAAGTGGCACAGGGCCTTCGAAATCTCAGGGCCGGCCCTGTGTGTGTGTGTGTGTGTATATATATATATATATATATATATATATATATATATATATATATATATATTATGGTCATATTTTTGCTTGATAGAGATCAGAACTCTTTTAAATTTATTAGTTATAAGCTGAACTATGAGCAATGAAGAAAAGCAATCACGTACCCACCTAAACACAACAAGAAATATAATCTTTAGGGACGACACCATTAGGGACGACACGAAGTTTTAGGGACGACACTCGACAATACGCGTTCTTATCGTCGCTAAAGCCTCGCGTCGTCGCTAATAAGGGCGTCACTAAAGGGTTTGATTGGCGATCCGCGTGAATGTTTCCTGATCAAAATTTGTCCCTACGATTGCATCCTGATCCAATGGATGGGGTTAGTTACTGTTCACACCAATAGGGGCGACACCATTTGTGACGACGTTGTCGCCGCTAAAGGTGGCGAAAATATGAGCGCGTAAATTTCCCTCCGATTTGTCGTCTCTAATGATTCATAGTCGTCCCTAAAGGTGTCGCCCCTAAAGGGTTCCACCTTTTGTTCCCCATTAGGTCGCAGAACCTGATTAATTTCCAGTTTCCATTTCTTTCTCATTTTTTCCGGTGACAATCAGGAAGCATTTTCCGACGAATTTCAGTGCATCCCACTTCTTCCGCCGGAGGGATTTGCACCTTCTCACCGGGTTTCAGTTGCTCCACCGGCAACTATCACCACCTCAGCTCGCCACAGTCTCCGATGAACTTCTCCACCGGTGAAGGTACGTTTCCCTTTCTCATTTCCACCATCTTTTCTCTTTCTCTTTCTCTTTCTCTTCCTTTCTTCTCTAATTTTGTTGATTTTGGTGGTTTTCTGGAGATTTCTCTAATCTCCGACTTTTAGAGCCACCACATCAACGCCACTGTTGCCGCCTGTCTCCATCGATGTCAACTGTCTCCGGCGACATCCACCATCTCCGACGAACTTCTCCACTAGCTCCACTGTTTTCAGCTCTACAACCACAGGTACGTTCAATTTTTGTGTATATGTGTATGTATAAATTTGATATATGTTTGCAAGTTTATTTTGTATAAGGAATTTGATATATGTTTATGTCTATTTGAAAATGTATTTCAAGAAAAAGTGTTTATATATATATATATATATATATATATATATATATATATATATATATATATATATATATATGTTTGGAATATGTATATGTCTATTTGGTATGTTTGGAATGTGTATATGTCTATTTGGTATTTTGTATATATGTATTTGTATATGTATAATTGGTACTTTTGTATTTGGTATTGAATTGGTATGTGTATATGTCTATTTGGTAAGTGTACGCGTATGTATGTATGTGCTTTTGAAAATTTGTTTTGAGAAACTGTGTTTGATTGTATATTAATTTAGTGTATATATGATGTTATAATTGCAAGTATGTATATAGTTTGATTTTAGATAAAATGAGTGTAAACATAACATCAATGCAACTACATAAGAGTATATATTATTTAAATTTCAATAATATAAAATATTCTTACAAATAAACTAAAAATCAAATGTAAAGATAACGTCACTGCAACATTTTTAAATAACAACTTTTTGCTCATAAATAATATGTATGAATAATAGAATAAAAGAACCGCATAAAACTTTTGTAAGGTGACTTAATTGTTAAGTAAGAATAATTTGTTTTTATAGTATGATATATTTTAACTTATATTCTTACTTTGTAGGATGTGGATGTTAATACTTTTCTCCAAAACCCGACGTTTGTGACGGTAATTGAAGATATTATGCGCTCATTTAGCAAGCAAGTCGACAATGCGACCAACAACAACGATGAAAACGATGATGGGGAAGACGATTAGTATATATTGTTTTATGTTATAGATGATGTTATTATAGATTTAGATGATGTTAATGTGATATACTTTGTTTATGTTATTTGATGTTTTATGTAATTCAAAATTTTAAATTATATGTTTTATAATTTTATAAATTCTGCGTTTTTATATTATAAACTAATATAAAATATAAATTTTATCTAAAAAAACAATCATTAGTGGCGACACCGTTAGGGATGATCTTAAGCATTAGCGACGACACATCCCGCCGGAATATTTGGCCGGAATAATACTGGTCGGTGGCCGGAATATTATTAGGGACGACGAGTGGTATTAGCGACGATAAGTATTAGAGACGACGCTTTTAGGGACGACTTTGGAGTATTAGCTACGAGGTATTTGAGGCGACCCAATTGAGACGACAAGTCGTCCCTAATACCTTTAGGGGCGACTTTCTTGACTATTAGCGACGCTTTTTGTCGTCCCTAAAGGTGCCTTTTTTTGTTGTGAAAGGCCATCAAAATGGCTAATACTCTTGATGTTTCCATGAATGATTTTGTATGTTTTGATCCCTTTTAGCTTTGGTCTTTTGCTCTCAAAATCCAAAAGAGCAATGGACTATCACACTTAGACATAGAATTAGACAATACACATGTATTGTGAACAGTCCTCCCATGAAAATGTTACCTCTAGAAATTTGAATATTTGCTCTAATAACACACGTATAGATGCCACCTTTAGCTTCAAATGATGACTAAGCCTCTAGTAGATTGAATAAAGAAATCGGCTCATGAGAATAAAACATTCCACAGTTGATAAGATCCCTAAATTCCTTGAAGCACACTACCATGAAGAAATGGAACAAATTTAAAAAAAAAAACGATAAAACATGGAAGATGAACGTGGAGTTGATGAAAGATCTTCACATTGTGTACCACAATAGCATGGTTAAGTTACTACAACAATATTTTGTACAAATGTTAAACTGTATTCTAATCCGAGTACCATATACTTAAAACTATGATCTTTGTAAACAAACATATTTTAATCATAGACTTCATAGTTAAGCTTGTGAGTTGAGACCATATCTGCTGATACTATTCAATCAAATCCTTGGAATGGTTTATTTAAAAATAAGTATCAGTGTTACTATTTTAACTTTGCAGGTGGGGGCATTAGACACTCTTGTAATTAGGTTAGATTATTATTGTTTACATTGCATAATTATATATAAGTATTCATCAGATATTTCCAAATCATCTTTATGTTGTGGGTGGCGTGGATTCCACACTCCTTCCATTTTTTAAATTCATCCTTCAACAACTTCTGGACAGCACACTCCATTTCACTTCAAATTTTTTGAGATACTGTTTCATTTTTATATTGAGTGTGTGTGTATTCCACAAGCTTTAATGTATTTTTCATGAGATGATTACTTCAACTTTCGTTCTGGGGTGCACACTGAACATTTTTTTTCTTTTACTAATTGTAACAACCTAACATAAACTTCAAACTATGATATTTCGTACACAAACATATTTTAATTGCAGTGGATTATTTTCAAGAAAAAAGATGCGCTGGCAGTGGTAAGCTTGTCACCATGGCTGCTAATACTACTAATTAATATATTTCTTGGAATGCTTTCTTTAAATATCATTATCAATGGCTTTTGGGTTGCACACTTTTTTTTTCCTCAGCATTTACACATTGGTAATTATAGACTATATAATATATAATATAAGGTGGAACACACAAAAGCACACTATAAATATGTCCTATATGAAGGGACTCTATATCCACAACTAATTCATCTTGGTTCTTGTTTGACTAGTTACCATTAGTCAGAATATAGTATTGCATAATCTCTTTCCTTCCTTCACCACCATGGCTGTGCAAAATGATCTATGCATTCCAGTTTCTAATGAAAAATCTGAACAAGAACATTGCAAAGTCTCTATTGCATCTTTAATGATGGGTGTTGGAGCTGTTAAACAAGATGTTAGAGCCATGATTACTTCTACAGGTTTAGTTGCAGGTGCTTGCAGGATGGCAATAGGAGAATTTTTTTCAGTCTACTCACAAGAAGATGTAGAGGTGGCTCAGATGAAAAGAGAGACCACTGTTGCAGGAAATGAGAAAAGTGTCCATTTGTATGGATCAAGTTATTATATGTTTTACTTGCTTTAGTAATTAGTATAGCTATAGGATGAAAAGGGGTATAAACATGATTATGTTTCTGTTTACATTCCTAAGGTATATCTCGGAGTGTTATTTTTCCGTGTGGGACACTGTATATGGTTTTTTATTACTAATAGATTTTATGGGAGGTACTTCCTTCCCCAAAAAATTACTATCAAACTGCATTCAGGTGTCTGATATTGCTTCTTCTCATGAGACCTTTCTATTTGTAAGTGTGAGATATCTGCTGAAAGATGTGGGCAGCAAGCAGCTAAGATGCCAGGTGCCCTCCAATATTAGCTCTTTTGATGGTTTATATTTGACTTGCCACTGGTTATTGCTCTTTTTTGTTTGAATAGCCTTGATCCACACAAAGATTATTCTGCTTGAAAGTAAAGTATTTTTGGCAAAATGCAAATATAGGCGCATTTTTAAGGTGTGGATGACACAAGTAATAAGATTCCAGTAAATCTTGCCCATATATATACCAGCATAGTGAGCATTAATTCCGTGGCAATCAGCCTTCCCTGTGGGATGGGTGATTCAAGGAAGCACATAAAATGACATTTCTGCCACCTTGGGACAGATGGGGACAAGCAAAAGTGTTTAGCAGTCAAGAAACTGAAAAAGAAAACACATGTTGGCATCTAATAGAACAATAGTTTTTCAACCACATTATTTAAGAAAATTGTTGGATGGGCATCCTTAAAAAAACACTTGTGCACTGTTTCTGTTACACTTGGTCTTAAGGGTTTGGAAATAAGTAGCAATTATGTAATAAAGTGGGAGGGCAGGGGCAGTTTGGTGATTCTCCATAGGAAAATCTCTGAAAAAGTCATAATATTTCACTCTAATTTATGAAAAAGTCTCAAACTAAAATTTGTTTATGAAAAAATCTCAATTATCAGTAAAAATAACGAGTTGACCATTTTTCCCAGTTTGTTGGTTTCATTACTTACCCGGTTCGATTAAAGTCTCGTTATTTTACCATAATTTACGAAAAAATTTCAAACTAAAATTTAGTGATGATTTAGCATTTTTCTCCCTGTAACATACATAATATCGGTGTCATTACTGACCTAGACGCATAGTCATTAGATGAGTTGATGATATGGATATATTAGGTTATATAATGTTATGTTTACCATAAAAAATGATGTCATGATCTACTGTATATTTTTTGAAATATAAAATGCATCCAACAAAAATTGCAATAATTACATAAACTAGCAAGAAATTCGTCATTTTTATGTTTATTAGAAATTTCAAATTTTCTATCTAATATTATGCAATCCAGTATATCTATCTCTTCAGCTCATTTCCCATCTTTTTTTCCAAAAGCATACATTTTACCGGTTTCATTGCTGACGTGATACATAATCATAAATGAGCCGATGAGATGAATATTAAATTTTATGGTAACGTAGCATTATATAACTCATTATATCCATCTTATCAACTAATTTAATGAGTAGACATCAATGAACCCGATAAAATATATGTTAAATGGAGAAAAGGGCTTAAATCATTACTTAATTTTATTTTGAGATTTATTCTTAAATTATGGTAAAATAATAAGATTTTAATGAAACCGGGTAAGTAATGAAACCGATAAAACGGAAAAAATGGGTCAAATCATCATTTTTACCGGTAATTAAGATTTTTTTGTAAGCAAATTTTAGTTTGAGACTTTTTCGTAAATTAGAGTAAAATATTAGTATTTTTTTTAGATATTTCCCTTCTCCAAATTTGGTTGTTCTGTTTTTAAAAAAAATACCAATATGTTATGGTCTTTCATTTGCTTGAGATAGTGATCAAAATAGTGTTTCAAATTTATTAGTTATAAGCTGAACCTAGAGCAACAAAGAAAAAGCAATCGCTTACCTACCAAAAGGCCATCAAAATTGCTAATAAGTTGGAATGAGTTTAGTAAACTTAGCTGCTTTAGATGTTTCCATGAATTCTTTTGTATGTTATGATGCCTTTTTGCTTTGGTATTTTTAACGCTCAAAATCTAGAAAAGTAGTGGACGAACACACTTAGAAATACACAATACACATTGTATTATGAACAATCCTCTCATGAAAATGTAGCCTTTAGAAATTTGAATATTTCCTCTATGAACACACTATAAAGATCTCACCTTTAGCTTCAAATAATGATTACACCCTCTAGTAGATTGAATAAGCAAACCTGCTCAATAGAATAAAACATTGTATGGTTGATAAGTTCGCTAAATTCCTTGAAGCACATTACCATGAAGAAATGGAACAAAAGTAATAAACGATAAAACATGGAAAATGGATGATTAAGTCACTACAACAATATTTTGTACAAAAGTCAACCTGTATTCTAATCCAAGTACCATATACTTCGAACTATGATATTTCATGTCTGCTGATACTATTTAATCAAATTCTTGGAATGCTTAGCTTGTGGGTTGCACACTATTTTAACTATGTTCACCACCAACACACTGATCCTAACTGATCATACACATGAATAATACATATTATATGATATACTAAAAAGTATGCACTCTCTATCCATAGCTAGGGACAATATTGTAATCCATGGAAGATTCTGAAATGGGATCAAGTTAATTAAGTCTAGAGTCTAGACCAAGGTTTATGTTGGCGGAAGGAGCAAATTATGGGGACTTCTCTAAGCCGGAATGGTAGATATATGGACACCATAAGAAATCAACTGCATTGTTCAGATTGTGTTGGATAATGTATTTGTAGTATAGGATTTTGTAGCATCTTGAGTTATTTTACATTTATTTCTTATTGTGGGATGTAGTTTATTTATAAAATGAGGCTTTACCTTATTATGAAATACACAACATAAATATTTTAATTGTGAGAATCATCAGTTATTTCCAATTCATCTTTATGTTGTGGGTGGCGTGGAATCCACACTCCTTTCATTTTTTTAAATTCATCTTTCTACCACTTATATATGGACTGCACACTCCATTTAAGTTTAATATTTTTGAGATACTGATTCATTTTTATGCTGAGTGGATTGTGGTAGTGTGTATATTCCACAATCTTTAATTTATTTTTCATGAGATTCACTACTTCAACTTGGATTGTGGGGTGCACACTTTTTTCTTTTATTGTAACAACCGAGGATAAACTTCAAACTATGATATTTCGTACATAAACATATTTTAATTGCAGTGGATTATATTCAAGAAAAAAGATGTGCTTGTCACCATGGCTACTGATACTATTTAATCTATTTCTTGGAATGCTTTCATTAAATATCATTATCAAGGGCTTGTGGGTTGCACACTTTCAAAAACAAAAAAAAAAACAAAAAAAAAAAACAAAAAAAATCCTCAGCATTTACACATTGATAATTATAGACATATAAAATAAGGTGAAACACACACAAACACATTATATATGTCCAATATGAAGGGCTCTATCATCCACAAATAATTCATCTTATTTCTTGTTCGAGTATTTACCATTATTCATAATATAGTATTGCATATTCTCTTTCCTTCTCTCACCACCATGGCAGTGCAAAATGATCCATGCGTTCCAGTTTTTAAGGAAAAATCTGAACAAGAACATGGCCAAGTCTCTGTTGCATCTTTAATGATGGGTGCATGTTGGAGCTGTTAGGCAAGATGTTAGAGACATGATTACTTCTACAGGATTAGTTGCAGGTGCATGCAGGATGGAAATAGGTGAATTTTTTTCAGTTTACTCCCAACAAGATGTTGATGTGGCTCAGATGAAAAGAAAGACCACTGTTGCAGGAAATGAGAAAAGTGTCCATCTGTATGGATCGAGTTATTATATGTTTTACTTGCTTTAGTATATATAGTTAGGATGAAAAAGGGTATAAACATGATTATGGTTTTGTTTACATTCCTAAGGTATGTCTCTGAGTGTTAACTTCCAGTAAATGTTGCCCATATACCAGCGTAGTGAGCACTAACCCAGTAGCAATCAGCACTTCGCTGTGGGATTGGTACGTGGTTCAAACAAGCATACAAGCAAAAGAGTTTAGTTGTCAAGAAACTAAAAAAAAAAAAAAAAAAAAAAACTCCTATTAGCATCTATAGAACAAGAGAAATTAAATATCCTTCTACTTTTTATTCCTAACAATCCTCCTACCCATTTAAATAATAACATGAGTTACATTAGTATACTAAAATAGGGTTTTTGACTTAAAAGTCCTTAAGTTTGTCAGATTTTGTTGGTTTTGTCGCTATGATGATTTTTTGTTCGTTAATGTCCAAAATTTTCCAAGTTTTTTTCGTTTTTGCCCTTGCTACCTATAATAGTAGGTGTCTAGGGACAAAAGCGACAAAATTTAACAAACTTAAGGACTTTAATGTCAAATTTGGAAAATATACTTAGGATAAAAACATATAAGATTTATAAATTTGAGGGTTTTTTTTTGCAAATTTTAAAAATATACTTAGGGTATATACATCAAAGATTTATAAAAAGGACAAAAGTAAAAAAAAACTTGGCAAATTTTGGACATTAACAAACAAAAAATCGTGTCACAGGGACAAAACCAACAAAACCTGACAAATTTAATCACTTTTATGTCAAAAGCCCACTAAAATATCATTAAATCGGCGTTAAAATTACATATGTCACCATTTAATTTGATAAGAGGATTTATAGGAACAAAAAGTAAGAAGATATTTAATTTCTCATGGAACAATAGTTTTTCAACCACATTATTCAAGAAAGTTGTTGGATGGGCATCTTGAAAAAACACTTGTGGATTGTTTCTATTTCGAATCTATTCTATATCATTAGATATTGGGAGTAATATGGTTTCCAACATATAGGGTGAGTCTATATCACGAGACAATACGATGAAATGCTGCTGGTTTCTATTAATGTCATGGAGATTGTTGGATGGGCATCTTTAAGTCTTCATGCTAAAAGTTCTGCTACCATGGTTGTTGTTGTTGTTGTTGTTGTTTTCCGTGACAATTAAAAGGTCACGATAACTTATTTGAGGCTTTT